TAATTAATCATTTCAATTTGGACAGCCTTTCCTTCCACTTTGTCTTTTAAACATAGAATTATTGTTGCATGTATGACTTAAATGTGAATAGTCTAATTAAAGGAATAGTAACTTTTGGTCTGTCTGTGTCGTTCTGATTCATCTTTTAACTACTTAGTTATCATTTTTAAAACTTGTCTTTCCTCCACAGCTGTTTGTTTGCATCTTTTTACAAATGTGATTTTAAATTATATGAGGCAATGTTTTTGTTTTTTGTTTTTTTGTTTGTTTGGCTTAGACTGTGGAAAAAAGTGAAACTGCCATGTTGAGGTGTTGAAGTGGATCCACAAGCAGCAGGCAGAAGGTGTTGTTGAGTTGATTATTTAATAAATGAAAAATCCAACTTACTAGAAGATACAAAATGTAGGGAACAAAAATCCAAATAATCCAACTGGAGAAAAAGTAAGATGACGCAATGAGTGGCTGAAACAAACAGGCTAAATACTCAGAGGAAGAGAGAGAACAATAGACCAGGGCTGATGAACTAATTGATAACAGGTGTGTGTAGTTGGAGAGAGTTAAGGTAGATTGTGGGGGAGAGAGAGTTGCACAGGGAAGATTATACAGAGAGAAAGAGAAATCAGAGGAACAGGAAATAAATACGACACTAAAGAATCATGAGATCTAAAGTAAGAAAAAAAGAGAGAAGTAAACATAACTAGAAATGCTACAAGGGACTGACATACAGGAAGACTGGAACGAGACGGGTCTAACCAAAAGAAGTAACATCAAATAATGAACTTGAACGATCAAGAAGGGTTAAACAAAAGTGAGCTAGAAAACGACTGAACAAAGTAAAAGAGGAACAGAAATAAAACCAATCGATGAACACAGAGAGAAACATAAAACCACCAAAATCTGCTGTGTTACAGCAGATAAAATTAAATCACATACAAGTTTGATTATGCATGGTGTTTATTTACAATTTTGTTTTTAATAAATCTGAAATATCTCTGAAGAGGACACTGTGAGCATTTGATCTTTGAGACCCGACTTCAAAGATTGATAATAATCATGGA